ACCCCTAGTGCCTCTTGCTTTCCTTGGCTCTTCTCTAACTGATCTACCAAAGTCTCAACTTGTGCCTTTTGTCCTTCATCACCCCAGATCTGACCAAGAGACTAGAGAAAGTGAATACAATGGCGAGAGAGGTTAGCCACCCCCCTGCTCTGAAGGCAGACTGCTGCATCTGGTGAAACAGTAGGGATAAAGAAGCAAGGAGAGGGGCTTGAGAGATTGCTCAGTGGTTAAGGACTTGTGTTGTTCTTACAGAGGACCCGAGTTCAATTTCCAGCACTCACATCAGGCAGATTACAACTGATTGTAACTCCAGCACCAGGGGATGGCCCTAACCTCAGATGCATGTGTACTGGACCAGGCACTTGGATATGTGGAGTCAAAGGGTGCAGTGGGATAATCCTTATGTACTCGGTGAATATGTTTTGCCCTCATTGGTTTAATAAAGAACCAACTGGCAAATAGCTAGGCAGAAAGAGGTTGGGTGGGAGAGTAAGACTGAGAGAATGCTAGGAAGAAGGTGGGCGGAGTTGGCAGTCACATGCAGAAGAAGCAGAAGGTGAACACACTGTGCTGAAAAAAGGTAGCGCCACATGATAAAGTGTAGATAAGATATATGGATTAATTTAAGTTATAAGAACTAGTTAGTAACAAGCCTAAGCTATCAGCAGAACACTTATAACCAATAATAAGTCTCCATGTGGTTATTTGGGAGCTGGCTAGTGGGATAAAATCTCTGCATACAAATGGGAGGTCATTTGGTGAGCAGGAAGAAGGAGGGAGGGAAGGGATGTCTGAGTAAAATGATTCATGCAGAGTTGGCAATGAAGGGAAAGGAAAGGACACTAAAACAATCATTCTTTTTATTTGAGATTGTCTTTTGTTCTTAATGCTAGCTAAAAATATGTTGTAGTCTGGGGGAGAGGGCTTGGGAAAGGGTTCAAAACATCTCGTCCAGGAGCTGAAACCTGGCCATTTGAGTGAGGCTTGTCTCTTGGCATCTTGAAGCTTTTTTAAAGATTTATTTTAATCTATGTGTTTAATGTGTGTGCACAGGTAGGTGCAGGCACCCATGGAGGCCTGAAGAAGGCATTGGATACCTTGGAACTGCAGTTACAAGTGGTTGTGAGCCACCCTGTCTGGGTGCTGTGAGCCAAAATCTGCTCTGGAAGAGCACTAAGTGTTCTAACCTGCTGAGTCATTACTCTGCCTCTGTTGGCCTCCGAACAACAGTCAACAAGCACAGGCAAACACAGGACATGTTTGCCTGGATTTCTCATCTCCTACTGAGTACCTTCCTCTTCAGACCTCAGGAAAAACTGGAGCTCCTTGGTCACATAAGAAACATATTACACACACACACACACACACACACACACACACACACACCTCAGCCTAAACTGCACCTCAGAACCATGCAGGTAGTGTTCCTACACAACATACCTAACCTGGGTAAAATGGATTAATAAAAAATACTGCAGGATTCCTGGGTCCCCGGCGGCAGAAACACTGCAGGTCCCTAGGCGGTGGCAGCAGGCCATGTGGCGGCAGGCAGCTGGCAGCCGGTCCCGAGAGAAGTCAGTCAGTCCCAGGCAGGGAAGGTGCAGTTCCCTCAGTGGCTGCAGCAGGCCACAAGGAGAGACAGGCAGATAGGTGTACCACAAGACCGCACTGCTGCAGGTCTCTGAGGTGGCTGGTCTTGGGCGAGAGACAGACAGCAGCGGGTGAGAGACAGACATATAGACACGCCATACAGGGTGAGGTTGGATATTTATTTAGTGGGTTTTGGAAGTATGGAAGGGAAGAGGGAGGAGGAGAAGAGATAGAGGAAAAAAAAAAACAAAATCCCCTAAACTGTGTGACAAAGCGAATCCCACCTGCCTGAAGTTGCTTCCGGAAGGTATTTTTGTCAATGACGAGAAGCAAAACTAACAATGGAGCACTCACCAGTCTAGACTAAGGGAACTGAAGAACTAAGAACTAAGCACGTCATGCTCATCCAATGGAATCTTGAGAAAATGATCTGTCGTTTTTGCAACGAGTTCCAAATGATTCAACAATATGCATATCTCCACATACCTGTACATACATATACTCTGTTTGTGGGTATCTATGCTTACAGAGTTAAAGTATGTGTGGCGAATTGTGAAGGACTGGTGGTGGCTCTTGATTATAGGTGACAAGGGTTCATTACACTCCTCTTTCATCTTATACGTAAATGTAAACTTTGTGAGGTCTGGGGAGACAGCACAGTCCGTAAGGCGCTTTCTGTGGCCTGAGTGATCCCAGAAACCGTACGAAAAAGCTGAATGTGGTGGTGCACGCTTGTCACCTCAGCCATGGGGACGTGGAGACAAGTGGGTCCCTGGGGACCACAGGACAACCAGTCTAGCCCATGTTGAGTTCCAGGCCAGTAAGGTGCTCTGTGTCGAAACACAAGGTAGACAGGTAGAAAGCTCCTGAGGAAGACACACACACACACGCACACAAGCACACATGCATGCACATACACACACATGTACACGCAAACAACTTTTTAAGTGCCCGCTAAGCACATGCTCTAACACGAAGCTCTATCACTCACCTAAACTTCTTTTCAAAATAACGGGCTGGAGGAAAGGTCGCCTGTCGTCTGTATTCGGGTGCAACAGTGACCCCTGCTTCTGTTGAGCCCACTCCTGGGCCTCCACCTGAAGAAGAGCTCCCTCTTCCTTCGCCCTGTTACTAAGGACACAAGACTCTCCCGCAGATGCAAGAATCTCCAAAGGGACTCAGAAGAAAGTACAGGCCAGCATCGTTGGGGTTTGGCAGTGAAAACAGCAGGCAGCTGCCGGGGGAGGGCAATGGACACGAGGAGGGGACGTTAGGCCTCGTGAGTGAGAGGCAAAGAAGGGTGAGGCTTGGCAAAGCAGCCTGTGAGCAGATGCATGGGGTAGAGAGGAAAGAGAGGGCCGGGACGGGGGGGGGGAGGGAGGGGGAGAGGTGGGAGAAAATCCAGAGCGCGTTAGGGCAAGCAGGCTGAGGAATTTAGCAGTGTCCGGACAGGGGAAATGGAAAAAATGGACTTTGTGAGTTAGGACACAGAGAGTCCGCGAGCTCTAGAGCAAACTCCTGTGTTTGTCCCCTCCACAGGCAGCGAGGACCCGGAGGGCAGTGACCGCAGAGACTTCAGGGCACAGACAGGGTGTAAAGAGAACACTGCCACGTCTAGACTTGGCCTGAGACCAACCCTCCTACCTTTGGCCTATCTTCCAGGCCCCAGAATACATTCCTTTACTGCCACTTTCAAAAACTAGTGACAATTCCAGAGAAGCGTCTGTTTCAAGTTTGTCTCAGGGTCCAACTGGGGAGTCAGATCACTATGAGTGGGTGTTTTAGTAGGGTTGTCCATACATATAAAATATATGTTATGTGCACACATAATACTACAAAACTTATTCAACTACCAATATCAAGAATGGGCTTCCCATGTATCCCCCTCAAAGACAAATATTATGGTTTGAATGTGAAATGGCCCATACAGGGAAAAATTTAAAACATGCATTTATTATTGATGTGTGCATGCTCACGTTCGCGTACACGTGTGAGGTCAGAAAGCAGCTTGCGGGAGTTGGTTCTCTCCTTTCACTGAGCGGGTTCCAGGCACTGAACTCAGGCTGCTGTGTTAGGTGGCAAGTGGCCTTACCTGCTGAGCCATCTCACTGGGTCCAAGAAGGTTATTTATTTATTTATTTTCCATTGTTACAGATTGAACTCAACCCTCATATGTTCTGGGTAAGCCCTCTCCCGCTGAGCGACACCCTCAGTCCAATGGGGAAATTTTTAAGGATTCGGATCACGTATCTGAGACATCTCAATAAGTCCACTCTGTATAGGAGGCCAGCTGATAACAGTTAATAGTCCTTAACTATTAGGAGACTAAAATCAACACAGTGTTTTCTAAGATTTCTATTTATTTATTTACTTCTTATTTATTTAATTTTTGGTCTTTTGAGACACAGTCTCACTCTAAAGACCAGGCTGACCTGGAACTCACAGAGATCCACCTGCCTCTGCCTTCTGAGTGCTGGGATTAAATGTGTGTACCACTACTACAACTGGCCCTATTTTTTATTTTGAATTGTGGGCGAGGGGAGGCAGGTAGTGGGGTAGCCCATGAGTGTGAGTGCCCTCGGAGGCCGGAAGAGGGCATCAGGTCCTCCGAAGCTGGCATTGCAGTTGTGAGTTAGCAGACATACAGGCTGGGTACCAAACTCCGATCCTCTGCAAGAGCCCGACGCACTCTTAAGATGTGCTGACTTGGGAACTGGAGCGTCAACACATCTTGTGTTACATGACGAAAGGATAAGAAAGAGAAGGGAACGAAGGGATCACTGTACACACAAACATAGTTATAAGGAAACAAGGAATAAATAAATACTCATGTCAACTACAGATTTAGCAACTGGTCACATTTATGACTCTCATCCACTACCAGGTCTGTCTTCCCTTCGGCCCCAGGAAGCATGTCAGCAGTTTCTGTTCTTTCCAGGTTGGGTGACCAAACCTTGTTTCCTGAAGAGACCGACCCAGGTCACTAATTTAGCCTTGCTTACTTTTCCATTGAGTTTAACCACTTCAATCGTAGCATGGCAATACTAAGAGCCGCCCCCAGGGGATTCTCAGAACTCCAGGCATCCCATGCAAAGCTCCTGGAACATTCAAAACCCTTCCTCAGGTTGTGTTTCCTGTTCCTGCTTCAGGGTACCCTGGCTAGTTCCCATTCTCTTCAGCAAGTTCCTAACTTGTGTCCACAATTGCCTGGCGGGGTGAGCTTCAGGTAGAGCCACGATGGCCTTTGCCATTTTTTTTTTTTTATATCCCTTAGCGGCAATATCAACCCTTGATCCTCTGCCGGCCGGAGGGTCAAATTCACAGACAGTTTAAGCTTAAAACAAATGGTAACAAAGCCGAACTTTGCTCGTTCAATAACAAACACGTAGACACCCAGAAGCTTGATACCGCATTTTATCAGTAGGTGGCTTTCCTGTCACACTCCTGTGGGAACTTTCATTCCCAACTAAAGGAAACACATAAAGCCTGGACGAGATTTTGCTGGCCAATTATTATACCCCGCTGGGAAGTAAGGGGACTCTGGGCATCTGGCTGGTAGCTGTCTGGGGCAGGCTCCCTGTGCTGGCAGCGCTGCAGAAGCTTGCTAAGGTAAGAGAAGGTGGACCCGAGAGTTGCCTGTAGAAGGAAATGCCCCTGCATCTCCAGGGATGCTTAGAAGGTGGACAGAAGGTTTGAGACAAGTAAGCAGGCTTTTAGAAAGAGGTCCCGGCTACTCCTAAAGACTCAGTAGCTGTACAGTTTGATAGATGGGAAAATTAGGTTCCAACTTGGGTGCCAACAGCAGAAATAAAAGGGATCTGTGCTCATTGAAAAAATTAATTGAAATAAACATATAAATTTGTACCTTGGTTTTAAAATTTATTGTAGTATATTCAATATTCTATTTTAAAAATAGACCTAGACGTATAGAAAATTAACCAGATTTAAGCATTGAGAATCAGGTCCCAGGTACTATAATTTAAGGTTTCTATGGGCCAAGTATGGTATTATACACACCTGAAATCAGAAGGCTGAAGCAGGAAGATTGTGAGTTCAAGGGCAGCCTGCATGATACAGTGAGATCTTGTCTCAAGAGAAACAAAAGAAGTTAATAGGTCAATTAGGTTAGGTGGTACCAGAATTGGCCACTATATCAGAATCATTGTCAGACATTTCCATGTAACCGAACAACTATGGAGACAATGCTGAACTTGCTGTAGAAAGGAGTCCCTATTCCAAGTGCCTCATAAACTGGAATCATAGCCATCCGTCTTGATAGGAGTGCTGGGATTGCAGATGTGCCGCCACATTTGACTTCTTACGTGGGTTGGGGTGCGGGGTGCAGGGGGGGGGCGAGTGTTGAATTCGGTTATCCCGTTTGCATGGCCTTGGCTTTTGCTCACCCACTGGTGCCACCTCCCCAGGCCTCCAGGTTAAAAGAAAAACCCAGTTGCATCAAAGGAGAAAGTCTGTGGGGTTGGGGCAGCAGATGGCACCATTGTTTTCTAGCCCCGTCCGATCTCATCAGAGAATTGCAGATTGTGCAGGATTTGGGAGGGGGATAAAGGCAGGATTTAGTCTACACCAATCAGATGCTGCGCCCTCCACTACCAGCAGGGAGCAGAGGCACACGGGGCCAGGTGTAATCTGAGTTGGGCATGGTCCAGAAAGGGGAGAGATGTTAACTAAACGTACCTGGTCAAAGTGTGAGAAAATGAGAACCTGATTCAGCAGGGGACTTAGGTGTTGCAGTTTTCCTGAGTTTTTATCTTTTAGAAAGCCAATTCTTCTATAAAACTTCCCCCAAGCGCCACACTCCCTACTCTCACTGCATGTCTCTGTCCCACTTTCAGAAGACTTACGGTAGGGATCCCGATGACCCAGCTTGCGCACAAGTCTCATAATCCCTAAAAGGCAGAGATTTTTCCCCCCCTTTCAAACCTAGTTGGTTATTTTCAACAGCGCCCTCTGGGGGTTCAGGTGAGATGCACAGCTCCTAAGGAGCCTGGCCCCAGGCCCTGTGTCGAAGTGCAGCGGGAAGCTGGACTCTTGGCACATGTCTTGCCTAGAGTGACCTGGTTCCCACAGTTTCTGCTTCGTGTGTTCACATTCACAGCCAAGCCTTTTCTCCAGCTCCCAGATTGGAAGACAGAATGACTAGAGATGGGGCCGCCTCTACTCACCTCTCTTGCCTACTCGATGGCTTTCTCCTGGGAGTCGCCATTTCCTGCCTGTCTCTGAGTTGTTAGTGATGCCCTCGAGGGCAGGACATTTGGGAAATGAAGGCATGAAATCTCAAACCCAACAAACCAGTTCTTCATTAGCAGGGCTGGGAGCAGTCTTTAGAAAGAGGCCTGACATGGGGCTAGAATGCCTCTTCAGAGCTGCCACTTTTTTATCTGTGTGTCCTCCTTGCCCCCCACCCAAGCAGAACCTGAAGAGGATGTGTATACAGACAGCTTATCTGGGGAGCAAACCCCCTTTATGTGATTACGGGGTGACGAAAGAGTGTTTTCACTAATCACATGGCTCACTGCCATACAGAGAAATTTTCTTTTTACAATTTAAAAGGGACAAGAAGAGCCAGGTGTGGTGGCGCACGCCTTTAATTCCAGCACTGGAGAGGCAGAGGCAGGTCAGTCTTCCACGCAGGACCACACAGTGAGACCCTGTCATTATATATATGGATGAGAAAATCGCACAGGGAATACACCTCATCGACAAGACACGTTAACTACACTGTGTTTCCATTTAATTTAGATCCCAGTTTCGAGAGTCAAGCAGTTTCCTTGGGAGGAAGGTAGCCTCTGCATATGAAGTCTAGTAAGAGCTCACGGCATACCTTTCTATACGTTCTTAGGAGGGATGACTTGGCCAAGCCCCCAGAGATTCTGAAAGGTATGGGATGGCCCTGCTTACTAGATGGCAGGGTGCTGGTGATCTGTCCTTGGGTACCAACCTCTTAGGGGTGCTCTGTGGTTTGGAATTCAGTAATCGAGGTCAGTAACTCATGCATGTAGTCTGAAAGTGTATGGCAGATAATGCATGACCTTCCCTCTTGGGAGAGGATCACTCTGTATGTCGTTTGCACAGCAAAACAGGACACTCATCCGGGCCACCATTGGGAATCATTTCAGACGTGACTGACTGTAGTCAAATGGAGAGGATAGAGTGGGAAAGGATGTGCTATTGAGTTGGTCACGTTGCTCACCACTACCGACCCTACATTATCATTTCAGGAAGTGCACTAGGCTCACTTCAGTACTGCTAAGAGGATGATGAGGGCCAGATTGTGTCTCAAGGGGGGTGATACTGGTCAGAGAAACATCCCAGAAAGTGTTGGCTCTTTTGTGCTGGCAGGTCTACCCAGTATCAGAGAGCAGTGGGGTGCCGCAGCGGTCCCAGCGGGCTGTGACAATGGGACACATTGAAGCCAGGAGGTACAGGTAGGGCTGAGGAGGGGGCGGCTTCTCAGATTACACCAGCAAAGCTGGGCTGGAAAGACTAGAAACCAGCCGCTAAGGGTGTCTAAGCTAACGTCAAAGAGGTCAACTAGCAAGTCTTCTGTAAATCTTTATACATAATTCTCAGCCCCAAGTACCAAGTTAGAACTTACAGTTCTCCTAGATGGGAAGATTAACTCTCCTCCAGCATGACACAATTCTCAAAGTGTAACTCATTCTGTAATGATTATATGGTTATAGGTGTTTTTATAGGTTTTTGGTTTTTTGAGTTTTTGTTTTTGGTTTTGTTTTGTTTTTTGAGACAGGTTTCCCCGTGTAACCCTGACTGTCCTGGAACTCTTTGTAGATCTGCCTTTCTCTCCGAGTGCTGGGATTAAAGACATGTACCGCGACGCCTGATTTACATATAGGGATTTGTTTTTATGGGCTATGGCACCATCTACTGAGCGCCATTCGAGTCTGGTTTGAGCCTGTGAAATGGGCACAGCAAACCAAGGCGTTTTCTTTTCAGGACTCTCTTGGTCTTCAGTGCTCTGGGTGCCAGAAGCCGGGCATAAAAAAGAAACACAGCCTCAGCCCTCAAGATTCAGGGAAGGAGATGGCAGGTTTCTTTAAAGCCTCGCCCCACCCCCCACAATTGTCCCGTTACCTCCCTCGGGCGTTCACCTTCCTAGTCCCTTTCTGAGGAGTCGTTATGTAATTTTTTCTAAACATAGCTCCATCACTAACAGCCTGGTGTCTTCTCTCAGCCTGTTTCTCAGCCTGGAAACAGGTATCTCGTGGTAGTGGGGTGGCCGACTGCCCCTGCAGACCATACGCAGATGTGTCCTATTGGTGAAACCTTGGGACGCTGCGATACGTTAAAGAATCTCAGAAGAAAAATTTTGTATGTCATTTGGTTAAATGACATTTAAAAGTCAACCAACTAATCTTTTAGTTCCAGTGAGCTTTAAAGACAGCAAATACACGAAAAACTTGGAAGGAGTCTTGTCCTTCGCGTGATTTCTTCTCTTCCTGGAGCGGCACTTTCTCCCCTGGTTTGGGAGCGCGGGAGGGAGGCGGCTGACGCCTTTTCACACCGTTTGCCTCCCTGCTCCACCCAGGGTCCAGGAAGGAAAGATCAGATGACAGCAGGGATCTGTACCCGGCTTACATTGGGATGAACAAGTTATCTCCGGGGTGCCTAGAGTCTAGGGGCACCCTCTACTGGAGCTGAGCCAGGCCTGGATAAGGAGGGCTAAGGAGGCTGCGCCCAAACTCTCCCCGCCTCCGCGCTGTCTGCCGTCGGGCCCCGCCCGGCGCAGCCCTAACGCAAGCACCCGAGTGTGTAAGGCACATCCGGGTGTCGGAGGCAGAAGGCCGGTTTTGGGGGGTTCGGGAGAGTATCCTGGGAAACAGGGGCAGGGCGCCAACTCCAAGCCAGAAGCGCGAGCACAGCACCAGGTTGAGACTGCGCACCAGCCCAGCCCTCGTCTTGGAGCCCCCTACTGGGTCGCTTTGGGGTAAGAGGAGGGTCTTCATCGCCGTCACTGGGGCACTGCACGCCAGCGCCAACTGCCCGGTTTGGGTTGGCCTGGCGTGGCTCCTGTGCTGGGTCCTTGGAATGTGGGTGGGGAAGGAACATAGTGTCCTCTAGACAGCTCTGCGGCCAAGAGGAACCAGAGATGGATCGATTGATCTCCCTGTCTCGGCCCCCGGTCGTCTGCACCCGCCACCCTCTAGCTACTTCCCGCTTTCTCCGTGCGCGCCTACAGGAACAAGGTGCTTTATTTTCGCAACGGGAGGCCCGGGGTTGTTCACGCGGCCTCGTGGCCTCTAGGTGAAACCCTTGGCACTCACTGTTCACTGCCCGCGCATTTTCACAGACGGGAACTGAGACCCCAGGAATGGAAGGAACTGGCCCTAGATCACTTCGTAGCCCAAGGCCGAGAATGAATCAAAGCCTTTCATCCAATTTTCTAGCCTCGGCTGTAGGCTCTGCGCGGTCCAGATCCTTCTTCCGACCCTGCCCTACGTTCTCCTCCCTCCTTCCATGACCTCCACTAGGCTCTGCTCTCAGGGTTTTGGCAGAGTCTCCTCCGTGCCTGCTGCTTTTGGATAGGATGCTGAACAGCGGTGAGGCCTCGGGTACAGCCGCTTGAGTGT